TTATCGATAAGCTTTTTTTCTATATCGCACAACCCTAATATATAGATATATATAGATAGATATAAATGTTGGAATATCATTTAGACTTTGTTTAGATTACATGTTAATTGCTATACTATAAAGAAAATTATCCTTTCTATATTTAATTCCCCTTTGTGATTAATAAAGTATTTTTGAATTGCATTTTCATTTATGTAATAATGAAAATAATTTTGGTTATTTTTGAGAGCTTAGATAGTTCAGAGCAACAGTGATGTATCATCTGCAAAATTTAAGATGACGTATAGCTGTGATACATTAATGATCAGGCGCAAACTAAACAGCACAACTTTTGATCCCTTCTAAATCTTGTTCTCAATTCAGTCCTATCTTTTACCTTTTAACTTGTCTTTCACAGTTCCGAGGTCAGCTCCAGCAGCTCTCCAGAGTCTGTGGTTCAGGCAGGCCGCCAGCTGTCTGCCCAGGTTCTGCTGCATTCCCAGAACCTGCAGGCCTCTAAAGAACCGGACCACCAGGACTGTGAGATCCTTTCTTCACAGGAGGACCTGTTTGATGGGGACAAGTCTGGTAAGTTAATGCAGCGGTGATGTTTCTGCAGTAAGTGTGTGAAGCTGTTAGTAATCCCCCATATTCCCCCAACCCTAATTCCAGGTGCTGTTGACAGCACGGTATCTGAGCCTGAGCCGCAGGCTCAGCCCACCTCCACACCAGCCAACACCCTCCGGTTGCTGCATCTGTCTGGACAGGGAACACTGGTGCAGGAAAGTCTTTCCCAGTAAGTCATAAGGTGTTGATTCACTCAACAAAAGAACCCAAACTTTGGAAAATGACTATATCTGCTTCTGTTTGCCTGTTCTCCTAGGAGCTCCATTGATTATATTGCCCCCACCCCAGATAACTTCACCCACGCTCCTTTAATCGTTCCGAGCTCACCTACTGAAGGGGAAAATGAAGCCGGTACGTGACTGAATTTAACTGAGCAGGTGAGCAGATTAAAAACAGCACTGATGTATCTGCTGTGTCGTGTGCAGAGGAACCCATGGACACCTCACTTCCACCAGAGGAGAAACGTGCTGCAGCAAAGGACGAACCAATGGAAACAGAGGCAGCATTGAGACCACACCCTTCTACCTCCGCTCCTGTGTCCCAGAATTCCTCTGGTTTGGGATCAGATCAACCTCTCTCTGTACCGTCCCAGCCGGAGTTCTCTCATGTATGTACCACATTACTCGTTGGACCTCCGTTGGAATACGACTTTTTATAGCTTCATCTTTGAGCAAATTTAGACTTTACATAGTTTAGCTGATATTTATCATAAACCAAAAAGATGAGAAACTCTGGTAGTTTTATGTAAAATAAATAACTTTTAATTGCACAACAGGAGCCTTTTTCTTTCTCTTTTCATGAGACTCATTAGTACATTCATTTTGGTACAATTCATTTTAAATCTCTTTAGTTTATTATTTCTATAATGTTTAGACTGTATTAACCACGGTTGTCACCAGGCTAAACTTTCAGGTTTATATCGACACCATGGAAAATATTTGTTATCATGGGGAGAAAATGACCGATAGTTAAAGTCATAAAAAAAAAGTAAAACTCACCTATTTAATCTCACTATGGAGCATGCTTTGTTTTTATTAGAATTACAGATGCTACTGAAGTAAGTGTTCAAATAAGCAAAAAAATAAATTATCCCAAATATAACAATCATGAAATATTTTAAGTTTGCAAAAGTGTTATTGTTTTAATTTGCAAACATCAGAGATAAAAAAATATGTCATCACTAGTAGGTTTCATTGTATTTTTGTCATGTTAAGCTTGACATTACTGAGCATGAATATTTGCAAACATTAGTAGTAATTCTGTACAACTGGAATTCTCAAAGTTGTCAGCTTTCTATTTTTTGTGTGTAGCAGTAACAGGAGCTGCACCACAGGAGGGGGACTAACAATGTAGTTGTCAGCAGATCTAATTTGATTAAAAAATAAATAAATAAACCTGCAGCTAAGTTGCATCAACCAAGTAGCCCAGGAGAGATTAATGATTCAAGGTAAATACGTCATGCAGGAGGAAGATTCATGTAATCAACTTCTGGATTATGACTGTTAACGGTTTTTACTATAAGTCCTCAGTTGAGTCTTCAGGTTCAGGATAATAAGGTTCTAGAGGAAGACGGTTTGAGTTAATATGATCCAGACTTAGAAGCTTAAAACAATCAAGCCTTGATCAATTCTAGTAATAATCAATTCACAAACCTGGATTTTGTTTCTACTACTATTCCTCTCATGATTAATCTTTGATAGTGTGCTGCAGATGTAGTTTAATAACCCAAACCCATGTCTGTGTTTCAGGATGTATTTGTTCCAACACAGAGCCAAGAAGCTAATAAGAACTCCTTTCCGGTGCCTTCAGAGACACAGTCTCAGCTCCGGGAATCCACTTCCTTCACTGCACCGCTGCAGCTTTCTGTGAACACTGAGAACAGTAATCCACTTGCTGTTGAGGAGGACAGTCAGGCCACGCAGATAGAGGAGCTGGAAGAGCGGGCTGGTGTTGACACCAGTGAACCTGTGAGCTCATGTCCTGTTCAGGAGAACCTGAGTAACGCTGTAAACACAGAGTCACAAGCTGCTGAGTCGCCTAAACAATTTAGCCAGACTGAGACTAAGTCTGATTTGCCACAGGAGTCGGACAGGCAGAAACGGGCAGAAGCTAATTTGAATGTACAAAACGTGAATGTAAATGAAATCAGCAACACTAACCACACTGATGTGACCGTAAACACCTGTGTTCAAGAGACTCCCTGCACCATCACGCCCTGCAGTTTGCCTTCACAGTCGGTCATATCCCCAACCTCAGCCGTCGATAGCGGTTCTGTTTGTTCGAAAGGAGAAACGGCTACGAGCCAACCTGTAGGACATCAGCAGACAGTGGTCAGTAACAGCCTGATGGACAAAAACAGAATGGATGGGCAGGTGGAGGAAGAAGAGATGGTGATGGAGGAGGAAAACACAGGCAGTGCCTCAGGAATAGCTCTGGTCCTCTCCCAGAGTGAGCTGATGTCTCCTGAGCCCATGGAGGAGGGGGAGGACAGTCAAGACAACATTGTCGTCGTGACAGACAACGAGAAAGATGACGCCTCGCGTTCACAGACCAGTAAATCCAATCCTATGGGTATCACCTCTAATGGCCACCAGCATGAGAACCAGGAAGAGAAGGCAGATGCAACTCTGGATCGGTCGTCCCAGGCTGAGGGCATGAGGCAGGAAGCAGATGGAGTCAAAGACAAGAGCCTGAATGACAGCTCAGGAGGTGAGCACTGCTTTTATTAGGAGGAACCAGACTGTGTGGTTACTAGGGCTGTGCAATATGTCTGTATATGGATCAAGATATAAGATTTTTATATCACTAAATATCAATAATTATTGTTTTGATTTTAGTTTTACCTATTTGAAATAAGGACCGAGGGAAGCTGAAATTGAACTCTAAACTTCTATGAAAACAAATCGACTTTCAATCTTGGCTGATAGTTTGAGCGTCTTACTTTCATCTGTCTACATCACCCAGAATGCTTTGCAAGTCTTGATTGTAGTGCAATGAAATTATAGATTATTCTATCAGATGTATATTCCATTGATATTCATCATGTGTCTTACAATGTTATTGTTTCACTGCCCAGCTGTATTGTTAACCTAAAGGTGATGAGAGCATAGGGATGGCTGCATTCACATTTGAACTGATATGATACCAATCTGTGTTAGCTCTCAATGGTACCTATTTTCTGTACCATGCTAACTTTATCTTCCACACTAGGCTTATTTAGCTGGAGCAGACGATGCAGCTCTCTCACCCATGGTTACGGATGGAGTCGCTTACCGACGCTAACGCTGTCGAATGCAGTTGAAACTGAACTTAATGTTTCCTCAGGTTACAAATATTTCCTCCTCTGGCCTTAATTTGTGTCTCAAATATTGCAGCAAGTTTAATTTGCTTCACATTGTAAAATGTGGAGCCATGCTGTTCAAAGTTTTTTGTTAGCCATGTCTACTTTGTTTACCCATGTTATCATGCTATGGTACCATGAAATACTGAGTTCATGTCCAGAGGAGCAAATCGGGCACTATTAAAACTCCCTCTGTATCACAATGATATGTTAGGAACCTGTGCAAAAATGACCAGCAACCATTTAAAAATGATAAAATACAGTTTAACCAGCCATCCATCTTCATCGCTCTTTTTTTAAATATGATTTAAATAGGATTCCATCACCAGGTGCGATGAACAGATGTGGCGCCATCTGCTGGCAGAAGCTATGCTTCATGAAAAAGCTTCAGCTCGGCGTGGTGGATAACCAAACAGTAATAATGAAATAACCCCATCTACAGTAATTAAGTTCTAATGATTCCTCCTGAACCCTATCAGAACATCAAAGAAAAAGAAAATTATTATTCTTACCAAATGTAAACAGACAGAGCATAATGCTAAGAAATTTATAATTTAAATAAATACAAAAAAGTCGTTGGCTAAAATTTTTTTTTATCCAAATGAACTCAATTTAAATCAAACACAAATTTCTTGATCAGTCTCCAGGATTTTTCGCAGCTTCGACTGCAAACCGTTGGCTTCATCAAATCCTCTTGAAATATGATTGTTAAAATCATAATTATGTATTGAATTTTCAAACCTCTGCTCTTCTCTATTACAGATATTTCTTTCCACTTCACACTTCCGAAAGAGGGGGAACTGATTGGTCCCTCGATCGGCTCTACGCCCCCTCTGATCAACCAGCTGAAGCAGACGCTCCGACACAGCACGCCCATCGGTAGGTTAGGAAACAAAAAACTTTGCCCACGTGATTTAGCATCTTTTTTACACATCCTGTCAGTGTTCATACTGAACTAATATGATTGAGCCAAAAAAGACCCTGACAGGATGTAACATGAGAACATTTTGTGAAGTATGTGGATAGCTTATCAGCTATAATGTAATAATGACTTAGATGGTGCCTGCTCACATATTTGATCCTCTTAGTTGTTAAAAAAGGCTTACCATCCCGAGAATTTATGTTAGAGGAAAGGTTTGCCCTTAATTTAAAGGATATTGCTAAAGATTCATCACAGATCATCTTGAGGAATAATATGTTTTCAGGTAATTAAATGTTTGTAGTTAGCGCTAACCATAACTCTCTCTAACCTATATGGGCATGCAATGGGGGCCTGGGGGAGTGGCGGCCTATTGGTTAGGGCATAGGGCTTTGAATCCTGAGGTTGTGAGTTCGATCCCCCACTCCCACACTCCTCTGGGTCCCTGAGCAAGACCCTTAACCCCACACCTCTCCCTGGGCGCTGCACAATGGCAGCTCACTGCTCCCCAGGGGGATGGGTTAAATGCAGAGAAGTAATTTCCCTCTGGGATAATTAGAGTATATAAAATTGTAAAGGAAGCTAAGTTCTTGGAGCTTCTTTTATGGCCACCTTTGCTTCATCATTCATTCAATACATCATGCAGTTGTACATTTAAGGTCTTTCTGTCAAATTTGGAACAGCAGCCTTCAGCAGAAACACAGTGAACAGTAATAATGTCCAGCTGAAAATTAGAAATTTAATAATGAAAAGGCTACCTTAGTAATATTAAAATAATCTAAGAACTTGACTTATAACAGTAACATGCAGATAAGAAATTTAGTACTGTTCTGTTGCTGACTAAACAGATAAGGCATCAGGATCGAATGAACCTGCCTGTTAGTCTGGTTTAATGCGGTTTAATCCCTTATCTTGGTTTTGTGAAGCGGGCTCTGGATAGGCTGCTGAGGTCCAATGTTTATTTTTGCTTTTATGCAGAGATCCCTCCCTTTTCTGAGAAGACAGACACTGTGGGCGACGCATCTTCGGATGTTGTAGCGACAGCCGGTAACGTGTCAGAGGAAGGAGGAGAAGATGTGGCTGATAAAGAAGATGGGAAACTGAGCTTGAGGATGAAGCTGGTGACGCCTGTAGAGGAAGGCAGCTCTGAACGCTTCAGTCTGCAGAGTGAGAACCTATTTCCAGCCAAAGATAATGAATGCTCCTATTACCTTTTCACTCACCCCACTTTTCTTTAGAGCCTGCTCTGTTGGAGGAGGATGAATCGGTCACCAAGGTTACGACTGTTTCCCCTGCTGTTACCAGGTAACGAGGCACTCTGACCCTGAAATGAAATCCTTCATAAAAGAGCTTATTTCTAATCACAGGAACAAAAGGCAGAACACAGGTTAATGTTAAGGTTTGAGTACTAAGGAGAAATAATTAATGATAATAATTAATGATAATAATTGATGTTTCCTAGTCTCGATGTCTTGAATTTGATTTCAGGGTGCTTTACTTCTTGACAACAAGCCTATGCTTTTGTTTTATCCTCTTCCCTTTCACTTCCCTTAAATTCTTCTTTCTTAAACACAGTTCTTTGACATTTTTTGAAGGCACAAATATCCTTTTAAAAAAACCAATTTTAACCTGTTGGATAGCTTTCTCATCTGTTCATATTTATGTTAAAGCCCCTATTTTAGTCTTATTTAACATGTCCATCATGTTATTTCTTTACTCAAATGTATTGTCTTAAGATGCTTCAATATTTTTTATCTTAATAGTTCTAAACTTAGAATTTAAAGGCTCAACATTGGAGAAATTCTTTCTGTTAAAGCAGAAAAGCCGCTGAAAAACTCCAAGCCAGGCTTTACAAAGATTTACCCACACATTTCTTATTATTTTGCTTAGTATATTATTTTTTTGCTGTGGAGAAATGAAACAAGGATGTGAGATGGAAAAAGACTCAGTTTTTCTGCACAACAACGTCTCTAAATAGTCTCTAGATATTTTTGATTTCTGTTCTGTTAGTCTGGGGGTGAACATTTTTTTTTTTTTTGGCAGAAATCCTTCTGCTCCAGTTTTCTATGGCTGACCTGAAGCGTTACCATTGAAAGAAGCCTAATCTGAACAATAATGGGATTATTGTCTTTGTTCTCAGCCCCTCAGTGTTTACCCGTGTTCGGCAGGTGCACCGACAGCAGGGGGCGGAGGAGGACATTCTCTCTGGAAACAACACCGCGGCTGTAAGGTAAGAACACGTTTGGTTATAGCATCATTTACTGTCTCCTGTTTACATCTCAACACCAGGCAGCAGAGCTGTTCACCTGGACTATACCTCCTCCACATCATTACATTTATTATCATTTAAAACTGAATTCACTTCAAGTGGACCTTGCAATATTAAGAGTAAAGTTAAAATCCCAGCAGCTCTATCTCAGACTGTTCAAACCTCTGTTGACGGGTAAAATGTTCCAGTTCATGACACAACATTTAGGAAAGACTAAACAATTCTGAAGGAGAAAGATATATATATATATATATATTTTTTTTTCCTACAAAAGTTGACTTGGATTTCCAAACTGCCGTCTGTACAAACCACAAGATGATTGGCGTTTGGAAAAACAGAGACACTAATGGACAGCTCTATGTTTGGACAAGTTCAGGGGTCTCATTTATTAAGCTTGCGTTTTCAAAAATTAGAGCTTTGAATCTCGTAGATACTAAACCATCAGATCCATGCCATCCGTATTCACAGGTGGAAAATGTGAGGTCAGTGCACACAACTCTGATGTAGAAAAAAGGAAAGGGGTGCTGGAGGCATGGAAACATAAGTGAACAACCCAGGGTACAGATAGAATTAAAATATATTCATTAGTTATAGGTATAAGTCATTTCCATTTTTGACATGGGCAAAAAATTGTTTAGGCTTCATTTATAAAGATACAAAATTATCAAAAAAAGATTAGGAACCATCTGAACAAAATGAGCTGCTGTAGATGAAAAAACCATTTTTCCCCATATTAAAATGGAAGGCGGTCCTACAAAGAAGAAGGTTTGTCACTTGGTTTGTTGTTGTTTTTTTTTATTTCACAGTAGAGTGAATGAAAGAATTTTAATCTGTTGTCTAGTTTTGCACTCTGGAAGCTTGGATATTACATACCTTGTAAATACCAGTTTATGTTCTGACTTCTAGATCTTCATATGAACTGCATTCTGTTTGTTTAAGAGGGAGACTTGGATTTAAAGGGCTTTTCTATAGTCTTTCAGATAAAGACCTGAACACACACAATCTAATTTTCCTTTCGATCTGTAGATCTGACTAAAATAGACCCCAGGTCTATTTTAGTCGGACTACACAGAAATTCATGTGCAATTTCATGAGTCTGGCAGGAAGAGAGATGATATTGCAAAGTAAAACACTTCAAAAGAAACAAAATAAAATCTGTTAAGCACACAGTGAAACAGTCGGTTTGGAGTCGCACATTGTGTATATAGCAAGCTGGACAAATTTGTGCAAAGACAGTCAATGAAACATAAAAAAGAATACACATGATAGGAGTTAAGGAGTCCCACAACCTTTATTGCTGCTTTTTCCTTTTCTTTAAACCTAGTTCCTATTATTCTTTTTGATATAGACCTATAAAAATTCTCTATCTGTTCTGGTTTGAGATGCTGCACAGACTCATAAAGTCGTTCTTTGCTTTATAGCTGCGACAGTTGTTTTTTAAATTTATTTATTTCTAATAACTTTTCATTATCTGTTCAAGTCAAATGTGGGAAATTGTATTAATTTGTCTGGCATAGAGAGAGAAGTGATAAAAAAAAAAAATCTACACAGATCTGCTCACCCTGTCTAGTCGGAGCCTCTCTATAGTGTCACATATAAAAGATTAAAAAGTTGTATCCGGCCAAAAAGTGGTAGTTTTACTACATCGTGTCTTTGAACACCTCAGTGCCACCTTAGAAAGGATGAATGCACATTTTATTGTTCCCTATACAGACAAATCCTGTATGACTGACCGTCCTACAGAAGGTATACTGATGAGCACAAAAGGGTTGATAATCCTTATTTAGTCCTGAGGTTGGATTTCGTTTTACACATCAGCTCATTACTTTGTGATGATTGTGGTGATTGGTGTAGGATCTTTATCAAATTTAATTTGCTTATTTTTTTACAAAATGTCAACAGAATTAATACACATGACTGGGAAGCATGTGATAAATCTGTTCTTCTGAAGACTCACGTGCATCAATGTTTTTTGTTTCAGGGGGAAACTGTTTGCCTCTCCACGCAGCAGCTCCTCACTGGGCTGTAACAGCCTCCCCAATAGCCAGGATGAGTTGTCAGCGCCGCAGAACAGCCTTAAAGATACCAACATTCCTGCAGGACCACCTGAGAAGATGCAAGAACCATCAGAAGCTCCAAATCTGCCTCCTCCAAACAGCGTGGCAGAGAGGGAGGCTTCCCAGAAGGCTTCTGAAAACGCCACCACTGCTACTCCCTCCAGCAAGGTGTGTCAGCAGCATGTTAGTTTAGTTTACAGGTTATCAGGCGCAGACTTTTCCACTGCTAATAGGTGTTGAGTTGTATGGCTATAATGTTGTTTTTCCTGAAACCAAGCAACGAAAAAACATCTCGTATCATGAAAAGATGATGATGACTAGTGATTTAATAAAGGTGGTTCCACAAGGTGCTGTACCTGTTTGGTTTTATCTTTATTTACTAAAGAAGAGTAGCATTGAATCTGTGGTGTGTTTTTGTTTGCATGAGCTGAGTTGAATATTTTTTTTTTTTAAATGAAAAAGCCCAAATCTAGCTGATGTGGACCCGTCATAACTGCTCTGTTACTGTGCGTCTCAGTCCCAGCAGCGGAACGTCTCCCAGCAGACCAGCTTCGATGGGCCAGGCCTGCGTTCTCCTCCTGGCCGGGTAAAGACAACTAAGCCTTTTTAAATAACAGGAAGCTCTGCTTGTGTCTCCGACTGTTTACACTCTGTTCCTCTGTCTAAAGAGTGAACCAGAATCGCCATCATTTAGAAGAACCGCGGCGCCATCCCACCGTAGACACGTCCGCACCATTCAGGAGGTCCGAACCACCATCACACGGATCATCACAGACGTTTATTATGAGGACGGCAGAGAGGTGGACCGTAGAGTCACAGAGGTAGAGAGGCCTTCTGCTCATGTGAAATGTTTTTTAGACCCATTAGGTCTACACTTTAGCTGAGCGCATGTCTAATACTAATTCCTGTAATGATGTAATCTTAGTATTTATTTTACCCTTTTGTTCTGTTATTAAGGTGGTTTTATTTTGTCTACATATTGTGAGAATCAAATAATTGATTTATTTTCATGTTTTGTCCACATCTTTATCAGGGATAAGTCTGTAGGTTACTGATTATTATAAACCTGAAAGAAAATTGAAAATATTTTTTTACTTACTGGAAATTTAAAAACTGTAAAGATGAATAAATCAGACAATGATTGAGATCCTTGTCCTGCGGCTGAAGAACGTCTCTATGTTGAACGTGTTCTTGTGTTTTCAGGAGAGCGAGGAGCCCGTGGTGGACTGTCATGTGTTGGACAGCGACATCTCTCCTTGTCGCACAGGTAGCAGCTCAGTGACCTCCGGTGACCTCGGTGACATCAGCTCCCCGTCCTCCAAGGCTTCCAGCCTACATCACAGTTTTGGAGGGACGAGCAGCAGCATCGGCTCGACCAGGCCCGACTTTATTATGCCGCCCAGCAGAGGGTCGAAAACCGTCAGGTACCACCTGAACCGACTCTCTTCTCCGTTTGCTTGACCTGCCTGTAAGGTGTGCATGCAGAGTGGTCGTTCCTTCACTTTCTTCTGACTTTTTAACACCCTGATTTCCCAGTGATTCATTGACCTTGCTTGGTTCAGGTCCAGGTTGTCACAGGTTTCAGTCTGGGTTTTTTTAAGGCGTTTAAAACGCCCCCTCAGACCGATGACTGTGTAGTCTGACCGACTCCGTTCATCCCCTCTGTGTGTCTGCAGTCCCAGGAGGGGAGGTGGGCATCCACAGAGGGGTCACAGGGGTCACAGGGCAGGGTCAGTGGTCACTGTGGGCAGAGGCGGCAGCACCTTTGGGTCCCGGGCCTTCGTCCCGCTGTCCCCCAGAGGAAGGTCTAGAAGGGGCCGGCCCCCATCCCGCTGCTCCCTGTCCAGGTGAGTCCTTCATGAGGCTCAGCCCATATGAGGAGCCAGACTGCTTAGACACTTACGGCCTTCAGCTCCTCTGCTTTCCTACTTTTTTACTAACACTCTGTAGTTGAGCTTCTCACAGAACTCTTTCTCATCAAATGTATATTTGTTTTTGTTTTTCCTGAAAAATAACAACCAAAAAAGGCCAAAGAAAAATATGTGTTCTTTTTTTTTTTTTTCTTCAGTGTCACAAAAGCAGTTTCCATTTATAAAACCTAAAAGCTGATCTCATGTTTCTCCTTCATAGGCTTACAGAAGCAAAAACATGCCTTAATTGGCAACATGAAATCATAGAAAGCTCCCCTTAGATTACTTAAAATTTAAGAATATAACTTTTTACAGATCATACACCGTTGCCTTCAGGCTGAAAGAGGGGAGGAAATTATGTTGGATTTTGGAGAGGCACACAGACTACTGCAGGGTTCCCCCTACAAAACAGGCTTGACAATTCTTAAACACTAACCATAGTCCTTAAAATCTATACGTTTAAAATACAAAACAACTCTTAAAATAAACATTAATTTCAATTAATGTCATTAGAGTAATCAGCCAGTGAATTTGAAAATAAGCAGTATGATGCCAGTTATGTTTGCTATTAGAAAAAATTGACATAAAGTGAGAACAAGTAACAAACAAGCTGGCGGATTTATTAAAATTCACTGATTACTACCATATGAGCTCCAGGTTAATCATTGGCTTAAAGGCTTCAGGGATTCTGAAATCAATAATTCTCTATAAATATTTGATTTAAGGCAGTGTGATATATTTACAGTATTTATTGTTTGGTTTTGCTTTTAACCCATGTTTGCATCTCAAATGCAAAAGCATACATTGGCTCTCTATAGTACAGAGAGCCAATATGTGTGTTTAGCACATTTAAGGTGGATGTTGTACAGGAAGCTCTAATGAGGATCTTTGGGTTGTCCACTGGTGGTGGTTAACCGGTAGAGGTTATTCACTGTCAAGAAACACCAAAAAAGCTACAGATATAGAACAGAGGCCTCAAGCTGAATTTAATAGCAACTTAAAAGCTATCATTAGGTGTGTAGTATTGTTATTTTTTTTTTAATTTAATAATAATTTAACAAATTTGACTTCCTTAATAACTTGATCAAATTGCACACTTTATCAGCTGTTCAGAAGCACATTTTCCCGAAAAAATCTAAAAGACTTTCTTTATAAATCCACTCCTGCAGTAGTTAATAAAGGAAAAAAAGGCAGTGTCTCTGAAATAAATAAATCTTCCTCTGGTTCAACATTGCTTTATCTAAAAAAAAAAAAAAAAAAAAAAAAAGTTTTAAAACCTTCTGTTTTTTTTTTTTTTCTTTTTAAGTCCTTGTTTTCATTTTCGCCTCAACTTAAACCAAACCGTCCTTATAAAGCCCAGAAGTTTGGCAAACTGGGGCTTTTATATAATCATCCAGGTGGATCATTTTATACTTGGAACAGATGTATACAAGACCTTCTTTATGCACAGTATATACAGGCCAACATTTATACATATTTATGTTGTAACACGGATTATATTAGTGTGACTATGTCACCTAGTGTCTGTCCACAGCGGTAGGTGGTAATTCAACAGGCTGAATGTGGAACCGTTCAGGTTTAGAGGAAACCACTGAGGGGTTTTAGGGTAGCTAGAGAGCTGAAAAGTTGTACATGGGTTTAGAAGACCTCTGCTTCTTTTTTTTTTTAGGGGGGGTGGTGTCGGACCACTGCAGAGGCTCGGTGCTCACTCCCAGATCCACTCCTCCTCGGAGGATGAGCCCTACACCTGCATGCTTCCTCCACGCCTGCCCGTCAGCCCCTCCGACCCTGAGCCCCTGGGTCGCTCGGATTCCCTCAGGTCGTCGCCAGAGGAAGCCATCTTGGCTGGCAGCAGCTTCGTGGGCCTGCGGGTTGTCGCTAAGTGGTCCTCCAACGGCTACTTCTACTCAGGACGCATTATGAAGGATGCTGGAGACAGCAGGTTCCGGCTGCGCTTTGACGACGGCTACGAGTGCGAGGTGGCGGGGAAGGATATCCTGCTGTGCGATCCCATCCCACTGGAGACGGAGGTCACCGCTCTGCTGGAGGATGAGTACTTCAGTATAGGTGAGGAACAGGAGGAAGGCTCTGATTATTTTTTGTATTTTTATCCTGATTCATTTTATGGTGTTACTTTGTCTGCAGGGGTTGTAAAGGGCCATAAAACGGAGGGTCAGGAGCTGTTCTACAGCGTGGAGAAGGACGGTCAGAGGCAGTGGTACAACCGGACGGCAGTCATTCTGTCGCTGGAGCAGGGAAACAAGCTGAGGGAGCAGCACAGCCTGGGACCCTATGAGCCCACCACCCCTCTGACCAAAGCCTCAGACATCAGTCTGGGTAAGAAACCTGTTTAGAGCTGAATACTTTATCCAGTTGGTGATTGTGCAGCTTAAGTCTTTAAACTGCAGAAGGGTCACACTTATTTTCTGGCCACCTGAAACTAGCAATGGCAATTTTTAAGACCCAGTTTAACACCATGCATGATATGTTTGATAGTTTTGAGTGGCGACATCTGCTGGATGCTATGAGAACTACCTTTGAGCAGTAATCCCAATGTCCGCTTTAATTCATGGCTGAAGGACTTCGTTCCATAATAATAGTATTAATAAGGATAATGAAAAATATTTAAAAAAACAAATGCGATTTGTGAATTTTTAATATAATAAACAGCCCACCAAAGTATAACACTGTACTTTAGGCAGTTTTTGACAAAGTGTTTATAAGTATGTGGGAAGGGTGAGTGCTTCTGCTACTAGGACCCTGCTTATGACACTATAAACTGTAAAATAGGAAGGAGGTGGTGTTTCAACAATTTTTATTTTGAAAAAGAATAATTTCAAAAGCGCATGGCTTCAGTCTGCTCCTCTGCTTCATTACCTCACCAGCTTTGTAAAAGACCCGTTCATATAGACCTAAGGCGGTTCTATAAAGTACTGTAATTTATTTCCTTAAATGTTATAAATGCTGTCTTAGTGACCTCGCCTATTCAGCCAGACCAACAATTCCCTTTCGCGACACCCCTTTCAGAGACTTTGACTGGTATGGGGCACTGCGGGCTTACAAAAGAAGCCAAACGACCCCCATTCCAAAGGGGTGGAGCCTTCGTCTGTTTCAGTTTGCATGTTTTCAAAACAAAAACCAGCTTGTGATGGGCTACTGAATAAAGTGTCGAACTCAATGCCTTTCATGACAATTTGAATTGAAAAAGCTTCCTACATGGGAAGTGAAACGTCTTCAAACTTGGAAACAAAGTCCAGTGGATTGTTTTAAACATTTTTTTTTTGGAATTAATATGACCTGAATGACTGGGAATCTTTACCAGCACATTTAATCATAGATAAATGTTTCTTCTTCATGTTGTGTTTCTCAGACAACTTGGTGGAGGGGAAGAGGAGGCGCAGGGGAACCCCTTCGGGTCCGAACACACCCACCCGCAGCTCCTCCAGCAGTCCTCGGACCCCTGGCCCCTCCGGGAAGAGGAAGCTGATGTCCTCTGAGGAGAACAGGATCCCCTCTAAGAGGGGACGGAGAGGGGGAGGAGTCAGAGCTGGTACGGGATCAACCTGCCTGGACCATGAATAAACCTTTAACAGCTGGGTGGGGTGGGCTTATGGGGAATGACTCTAGGGTTGGCTGTTTGAGGTTTTATTGATAGAAAGCAATTTTTTTTTAGATTTTAACTTAAATGACGAGTTTTATAAGCTGTCGATGATTTTAAAACAGGAAATTTTATCTTTTTTAAAAGAAACTGACTTTTAGGATTTATTTTTACACTGCGTTTGTTTCAGTCTTTTTCCCCATGCGAGATGTTTTTAAAGAGTTCTTTTTAAAGCATTTATTCCTGATTGTTTGTGAATCCTGTCCTGGTTGATCTATAACCGAGACATTCTGACCCGCTCCCGGCCCGTGCCTGTCCTCCTCGGCTGCTGTTTGATGGCTGCTGCTGAGGCTGACCTGGTAATGAATGACATGCTGCTGATCTGTTATTGGTGTGGTGAATTGGTGGAGGATTTATTTCAACTGGTGGTTTAAGCTGTCAGATATCCCAGTTAGGATGTATAAAAATGTTCAATTTTCACCCATTTGGAGATTATTTTTGCTGAGCTGTTCATTTTAACCAAAATCCAACTGCTTCTTATGACTTCCTTCCTTGTCTGTCCTCCATTTTGTTAATTTCTACATTTGTTCATCTCTCCAGCCCATCTTAGTCATCCGTCCATCCAGCTATCAGTTTACCATCATTCCATTGTCCACTCATCTTTTCTTGTCTACATTTTTCATATTTAAAGCCCGTCCTCCTGAAAATAAAAAAAAATTAAATGAAAATCTGATTAACTTAAACCTATCAACAGACTTAAACTGATTTCAGTGTAGTTGGGAATTTAGATCAGGAAACCTCTAAGAACCTCGGGTTAGCCTGAATATATTTTGCTACTACTTTAAGGTGAAAAGTCGTTTCTTTTGTGATATTTCCTCTCTAATGTAAATAATTGTGTCCTGTCCTCAGGTCACCGGGTTGGGACTTGTAATACCTCCGGCAGCGGCACGGATCTCCCGGGTCAGTCCTGTGACATCACAGAGACTCACGGCCCGCTTCCTCAGAACACGTCTCTGTTTATGGGCTTCGCCTTCATGCTGACGGCGTCGTCTGAGAACGACCGGATGACCAACAAGGTTACCAGCGATGATGAGGAAGGTGAGCCAGAGTCTTATAATCTCTACATCCTGATCAACCAAAACAAGCTGGGCCACCCAGAGTTCAAAACTTTTTTTTGTTTTGTTTTTTAATAAGAGCATTGAAACTATGTTCTTTATTTTAACACCAGATTACGTTCAGACGGGTCCGTACAACAAACCATACACAGAGTCACAGCTGCAGGCCGGCGGAGGCTTCATCCTACCAGACTTCAATGAGGAGCAGGTATGAACCCCGGAATACAAACTAGACAGGAAGAATGTTAAATCTTAAGATGAGCGGTGTTCATTTTTCAAAATAAAAAATGGTGTCAAACGTTTTTTAGGTCAGGGCATAGAATACAACAAAAACATGGTCCCAGTTGATCTAAAGAAATCTTGAAGCACCTTCTGTTTGCTGTGCTCTAAGAATACAAACAGAAAAATAATGTTTTTCATCTTTTCTATGTTTGGCTGATGTATAAAAGCATAGAAGAGTCTTAAAGTCTTTAGATCTTTAAAATTAATAAGAAAATATTTTATTTCCTTTGATGAAGGTTAATAAATAGGAAAAAGATGAAAAGTAATAAAATCAGAGGAAATCAGCTCTATGGTGTATCCAGATGTGTCCATGGCACTGTGTCAGATTAATTTAAATCTGTTCAATCACTGATGTTTATGTTCTGTATCAAACCAAATCTGAAGTTCAAGGTGCTAGATTTAATGAAACATTTAAATGTTTAACAAGAACTCTACCAGTTTGAAAGGGAAATATATGGACTCTCCTGAACTGACTCGTAGTCCTTTATCCTTCCTTCCTCCATCTTCAGTGTAAAGCAGCGTATCAGAGCCTGCTCATTGCTGACCAGCACTGCCGCACCAGGAAGTACCTGCTGTGTTTAGCCAGCGGCGTTCCATGTGTGTCCCACATTTGGGTTCGAGACTGCTGCAAAGAGAACAAGCTCCTGAACTACAGGAACTACCTGCTGCCAGCTGGCGTGGGCCCCGATGATGCCATAGTGGAGTGGTGAGATGCAGCAGAATCAACCTGTGTTAGTTGAAATAAGGCAGGAGCTCATTTAAACTGACTTTTTCTGTTTCTCCCCAGGCATCCCCGCTCCAGCCCATTCAAAGCTCTCCGTGTCCTCCTGGTGTCTGAGAAACTAGACGAGCTTTGGGCCCAGCTCATGACGATGGGTGGAGCTTCATCTGTAAAGCAGTTCCAGACAGACGCAGACAGCTCTGGTATCAGACCCACATCCTGATATTATCTCCAAAATCTGTCGGCAAAAGTTTGTTAACTGTTTTTGCCTCCTGCAGAGATTCCAGCCGGGAAGTACGATGTGGTAGTGACGGATGACACATGTCCACCAGTGGTGGAGAGAAGTGTGACATCACAGGAAGTGCCGATGGTGTCTCCCGAATGGCTCATCCAAAGTGTGATCTGTGGGGAGCGTCTAGGTTTCCACAGCAGGCCTCAGTATCGTCATGACTACTCCACCTCTTCATCATCATCCTCCTCATAATCTGACTCCATGCGTCCATAAGGTCTTTGACCAAGCTCCATGTTCTGTTGCATGCATCTGCTGTACATAAGTTGTGTTTTTATGGGACAATAAATTGTGACATGTTTCATTTTAACTGACGTGTTTATTTTGTTTGTAGTTTCTAAAAAAAAGGCTTTTGAATATTTACATTTTATACATGAAGTAAAACCAAGTGAGTCACAATCTTCATAGGGGGCTTGCAAATACATAGCTGCACAAAAAGAATTCAAATGTATTTTCATGTGTGTACAAACAGTTTAGTCAAAAAACAAACTCCTTGTTAAACAGCTGGTAGGAGAAGGCAAACATCTAAATACAGGTGGGAACTTTATCCTGCAGCTTTTAAAGATGCATCTGCTGCCACAGGACTAAACTTTATTCCTGAATGATGTACTCCATCTTGCTAAGGGCTGCAGGTATCAAGGATCAATACTGGCTTCACCCCTAAAGTTAAACAGTTTATAACTCATTCAAATGTTTGATGCATTTTAGCACATTTAATTATAAATCTATTTAAAGTATTTAATGCAATTTTTGAAACAAGTGTAGAATTATGACTGAATTACTTTGGTAAGGGTCTGTTAATGAGCCTTTGATTGAAATGAAGTTTGCTCAAGAATAGGGACATAAAAGAAACCCAACACTAGAAAACCCTCCTGTGGGGCTCTACATTACGGATTCCTGGTTTTCCTTTCTTTCATTTTTGATACAGTAACGTGCAACACCGACTGTACTTTAAGTTATAAAATATATCATAATAGAGACTGTTTTCTTGAATAAATTGACCGTCTCTTCATATTTGAAGATACACGCAGCAGACCTGCATTTTTGTTTTTTAAGGAGCTTCAGTCCAGTTCCAGTAGAAATCCTCTTAAATCCTGGAAGAAGGGATTTTATTAGACAAACAGAATCAGTTTGGATCATTTTGTGGAAGATTTGGTTGGAATCTGGGTCTTACCCGCCCAAAGTGCCACCAGCTTGTGTGTAAAACTTGTTGTAGTCTAGACGCAGCAACAGCTGAGCCAGATCAGAGTTGATCTGATGGTTCCTCACAGTGGAAAGGATTTTGAACAGCAGGGAGGACTGCCGCCGGAACCCCTGAAAAGCCCCATTGTTAGCACAATGAATCGGATCTGTGGACAGAAGCTACAGAGCAGCGTTTACCTTCACCAGCAGGTCAAGCTGCTGGGCCATTCCTCTCTCGTCCTGTGAGGCCACACTCTGACCTACCAGAGAGCAGAAGCTCTGACACAACTCCAGGATTTCATTCAGACAGTGGAACACCTGCAGACAGATCAAGTGTTACAGACAGAAAGATGAATTTCAGCAGCAGACTCTGGGTTGGCCTGGCTTCAGCGGCTCTACCGGCTTCAGGAGGATGAAGGACTGAGCGAGCAGGTTGCTAAGAAAATGATCGTGGGCCAGTCGGATGCTCTCAAAGTCTCTGGTTGAGTTGATCTGTTGAAGCAGCTGAGTGAACTGAGACTCCAGGACGTCCACCTAGAGACAAAGAGGAATATTTTTGGTCATTAAAAGAACATTTTAAGGTTATTCAACAGAAGATATATTTGCACCACCTGAACTTTGTTCCTCTTACCTGTAAGTAGTACTGCAGGTTGTCGATTAAGAATGCCATGTGGTTACGGAGCCTCCACTTGACTGCATCTGACTGGCTGGACTTCAGGTGCTTCCTCTGCATTTGAAGAGCCCAGCAGTGCTGCAGCTGTGACTGCACCCGCCGCACGCTGAGCAGGTACCTGAACACCACATTATACCTAAACACCACAAGGGGAGGGACAGTAGATAAAGAGGATTGCCTCGCATTAGATTCAAATGAAAAAAAATAGTCCAAGTGACGCATACTTCTCCAGGACAGCAGGAGTGAAGAGGATGTGAAGCGGCCACTGGACTTTGTAGGCGAGGCCAAGAGCCGCCCAGCCTGTGGGAGGAACCTCACGAGGAGACGCATCCTGAGGAGGGGTGGCTCCTTCTCTGGGGCCTGATGGGTCTGAAACATGTTGATGTTACTGATGTTAAACACAAACTCAACTGTTAACAAACCTGAACACCCATCTGAAGTCATACATCTCACTTTAGAGAACAAAACAAGTCAAATAATTGTTCTGCACAACAAGTTTTACACAAAATCGAGTCACGGGTAAATAGTGCAGTCTCCCATATATTTTAGAAAGATCTCTGAAAGAACCCTGTATGATCCTAAAAGTACCACAAAGTAACACGTAAGTACAATGGGAGTAGGTTAAAGTACACTAAACTTCTAAATCTATCCTACAAGCCCTTTGGTTGTATTTCATTAGGTCCTGAAGAAGCAATGTTAGATTTAATGAAAGTAGCTGGTAGGTTTCTAACTTAACAGATAAATACCTTGTAGGGGCCTGGAAAGTTGCCTCCAAATAGCATGTATGTTCCATGAAGTAGTAGAAATGTAAAGAGCTGCAACTAACGATTATGTTGCAAATCGATTAATGTGCCGATTATTTTTCTGATTATTAGATTAATTATTAAATAGCCAAAGATTCCTTAAAGAAGACTTTTTACTAAATTAAACCAGGTTAAACTCTAACTTTTCCACTTTTGGAGTTCTGGATAAAGCATATTGACAGATAATTTTTTTTTTCTTTTTTTATCTAATCTCCGACAAAATCTGATTGATATTTTTTTTTTCTCCCTTAAGTTTCATTACAGAAAAGTCAAATGACATGGGCCTACATTACTTTCAATAACAGGCTTTTATTTCCATCATCCCCTTTGATGACCTTTATTCAAAGGACAAAGAAATTCAAGCTGTAAAAATGCTAGAAAAAAAGCGTTTCACAAGAAACAATGGAAAAATAACAAACATATATGACTAAATGTTATCAAATCAAATCCAAGAATGAAAAGTGATGAAATGATGTCACTCTGAGCTAAGGAAGCCTAGCACTGGTGAAAAAAATATCTTAATTTTCTTAAAATGAAATCTTCATAAACAGAAAATTTGATTAATTGATTTTACCCATCAACTGTCCTGCCTTAGCCTACGCGTTGTTCAGGGTTTAAACAGGAATGAGTAACTCTAATTTAATGCTTATTAATGCTTTTAGAAATAATTTCAATGCCATCGACAAGTACCCATGGCTATCATATATACACGGCAAAATCCTTTGTCATCTTTACCGTCGACAGGCTACAGTCATGTCCCAAATTCCTCACTTTCCAAATTCCTTGTTTTAAAAAAAGCTTTTTAAATTCCACAATAATCACATTCAATGACTTTTAATGCCAATTAAGGCCTTAATTTAAAAAATAATTTAGTGACTTAATGATTTTTAATGACCCATGGAAACCCTGTTGTTGTTTTCTTAAAAAGACTAGAAAATAATTTAAAGCTCTAAATAAGTACCCAGTAGGTCAACAAATTATACTTCTTTAAAGTTTTAGGAGGGAACACATAAAATATCATATAGGTTTAGAAAGCACAGGGAAATGTCAACCAGAAAGTACTTTCTAACCTTTGTAAAGTATCATGTACTTTACAGGAATTAGTAAAAGACCAGAGATAATCAATAAATTAATCTTTTAAATAATCTGTTGAGAGCATGTTCAGCCTCATACAGTCTCAAACTAGTATTTTAAAACAGGTCAACTGTCAAGTTAGCCAGCCTCATCACTGTACACAACCTAGCAGAATCTTATTTGATCTGCAGAGCAGCTTATGTAAGCTAAAGGCATGAGCAGACCTTTTCCGTCTTTGCCCTGATAGTCCACAGTGAGGTGCAGAAGGGGCAGCAGGTTGTCATCATCCAGAAGAACCTTGTGAGCTGCCTGCTGGAAGGCCACGTTAACATCTGAAGGTAGAAAGAAACAGAAAAAGGTGAAAACTGCAACAACAGCTGGAAGGTAAAAAAGAAACAGCTTTAAACACTTTTCCATCATGTTAAACCACATGGTTAAAGAACAATGGTGTGAAGATCTATCTTAACTTCAGTTGTGAAGGCCTGATATCACAGGAAAAAGCATGAACTTTGTGATCTTCCACCTCCAATATAAAAATGAGGGAAAAGAGCTTGAGTACCGATTTGAAACAGAAAAAAAAAGAAAAGAAGCAGTACTGTGTAAACATTAAACTAATGGCTCTGGTTGTAAGTTCCTTCAATCCCACACAAGATCAAGCATTTGTCCAGTTTTTCTTATGTCATTCACTATGGAGCTGAAAACTGATTCTGCAACAGAGTTTTTAGAATGAGGGTTGCCTTTGGACCATTCAAAACTGATAAAATAAGGAGAAGAGAGGGAAATGCGAGGAGATAGATGAGGGAGAAAAAAACGAGAAAATTAAAAAAGGCAAGAATGAAAAACTGAAGAGAAAATAAAATTGATAATAAAAGCATGAGGAAAAAAAGAAAAATCTAAAAACAAAACTAAATCTTCAAGCAATAAACAAACAAAGACAGAGGAAAAACTCAGATGGAGGCGGACCTCTGCAGGCATACTAACCGTGCTCAGTGACTGCGGTCGGAGGCGCCTTTAGCATGTGCTGAGCGAGGTCAATAAAAACCTGATAGAGCTCCCCGCGACCCAACAAGTAGAAGTCCTTGATAATCTAGAAGAGACTCCAAAGGTAAGTGCAGATCCATTTTTAGAAATATTTTTTCTGCAGAAATGCAGAGGATGATCACAAACCTTAAGCTGTTCAAGCAGATCCGCCTCCTCCACCATCAGCGTCCACAGATGCTGCACAACAATCAGATATCATTTGAACAAGCTCCCTCTATAGAAGTTATTTACTGGCTGATTTCAAAGATCTGAACTAACCTCTGCCACCGTGCTTCGGATCCCATCAATCAAATTTTCAAAGTCCACCAAACTGAACAGTGGCTGCTGTTTGAGTCTGTGCAGCTCAGCAGCAAACGCGTCTTCCTGGTGCTTTAAGATGGAGCCTTACACAAAGCAAGCAAGGCATGGTTCAGTGATCAAAATAAGCAAGTGGTGTCACAATAATGTACACATATCTGGGAGACGGCACCAGCTATGGATGGGCTGTGGTTGTGGTTTTCAAACATCTGAACGGACTCGCCCACAAACAGGATCTTCTCAGCCACTCTGATGGGGATGTAAGATGGCAGCATCTCCGTTCTCAGAGAAAACTGCTGAAGGGATGGAGCCAGCATGTTCTCCTCCTCAATCAGCCTCTGCACAGCAGCCAACAGTTAAAACCCATCACAGAAACACAGGATATGAGATCTTCTATACTTATCTGGATACAGGATCTTACCAGGTCCTGCAACTCTCTGAGCTGTTTTCCACTCAAACCTCCCAATCCCAGATCTTCCTCCTCCTCATCCTGGTTTGCAACAGCACCACCTGCACTGGGGCCCTGCTTTATGAAAAACTCCTCGCTTTGATCCAGCAGCAGCCCATGCAGCATCCAAGCTGCAAGCTGCTTGTACATCACGCCGTGACACACAGCCAGAATCCTGCGGGATGCATGAAGAAAAAAAAAAAGTGGTTTTATTCTGTAAATCAGAAACAAACAAAAAAAAGATACCAATCTGCTTTAGTTTCAGCCTGCTTTCCATGCAAAGCTCATGACAGTGACACAAATAACATATTTTTTTTACAGTACCGAAGCATATCTATTAGCTGTGAAAAGGACATGTAAAAATATGTTTCCCTGCACTGCTATAAATGACTCCAGTTTAAAGAATTTGAAAAAAAGCTTTAAAATTCAGACTGGAGCAGACTTACTTTTCTAAAGCCATGCGTACCGGAGGAAGCCCCCCACAGCTGTGCTTGTACACAGTCTCCAGGATCTGACAGCCATGAATCTACAGCAGCAGGGATAATTCTGTTAACCAGCTGTGGTTAAATAACATCTAACTGGATTTATGTAATGGTAGAAACTGTAATCGTAACAAAAGAATGCAGGCTTTTAAGATCAGGGATTAGGCTAAAAAAAAAAGGGTAAATGGTAGAGATGTAGAGCGTCTGGAATAGAGCTGGAAAATACATAGTATAAGAATAGTCATTACAGCACTACTGAGCTCTATATCACAATGTGAAGCACTCCTTGGTCAAAAATCTAATGGCTTAGATCATAGTCCCGAACATTTTCTTTAAGAAACTCCTTACCTTCTGGGATTTTATGGTCTCCACCACCACGATAACAGAGGGAAACAGCAGCTGAAACTTTATCAAAGAAGTACAGTTTTATGCAAATTGAGATGTCATTGTGAAACACAGCTTCTGAAACAACAATCTTAATGTTTAATCTGGGAGTTTGTTCCATAGATTACCTGATCGAGCTTGTAATTCACATGGGATATCGTCAGATGCGGATCTCCAAGGAACTGAAACAAAGACACAAGTTTAATATTGCTTACGCTGCAAACTTAGTGAGCTGATGTTGCTGGCTGCATGATGATTTTACTTCCTGTTCCAAGTCCAGAAGGGCCTGTCTGTACGGCTGCAACATGGAGTCCAGTCCGGTGCAAAAGGCCCGTAGGTAAATTCCATGAAGACCTGTCTGGCTAGGCTGGTTTGTGTGATGTTCCTAAAAATAAAAACACCACATGCAAACTCATGTTTCTTTAATTCCAATTCATGCTAAAAACAGATTCTTCTAAGTCTAACAAAAATTCAACAAATTAAAATGAGCTGGAATAATGGAGGTCTTCATTTTGGATTTCTTTATGTGGAAGTAACAGTAACAGTTCGTGAATCATATTTAAACTCACTTGATGATGGACGTGACCAGTGTGCTGCTCTGTGAACTCTGTGAAGCGAATGTAATCTGAGCCGAGTTTACACAACCGGTTCAGGACACTTGTCTCACTGGGGTGAAGGAAGGGGAGGTCCTGGGACACCTGTGAGTAAAAAGGTGTATGATGTTAACCTCTGATAAGCAGAGGGCTTTTTGAGAAAAAAATCAACCATCATCTACAAAGAGGATCCCCGATACACGTTGGCGAAAATACAAAAAAAAAACAAAAAAAACTTTAAAAATATGTAAAACCTGCAAAATCTCCTTTAGTGTTTTTACAGCCAGCTGATGTGAAAAAGATGCTAAGTGCCTTCACACAAGGAATGTGACATTGGCAGCCTATTTCCTGAATAAGCCTGTTTGGTGACCCTTGAAGCTTCAACTCCACTCTCTGTGAATAAATACCCATTCAGTTTATTTATATAGCGCCAATTCACAACACATGTCATCTGTAGGCACTTTATAGTTCAACCAGATCATACAGTCAAATTGATTCAAAGTTTTCTATCTAAGGAAAACCAGTTGATTGTATCGACTCATTGACTCTGAGGCAATCCCTCACACTAAGCATGCTTGTAGCGACAGTGGAGACGAAAAACTCCCTTTTAACAGGAAGAAACCTCCAGCAGAACCAGGCTCAGTGTGAGCGGCCATCTGCCGAGGCCGACTGGGGCTCAAGGAGACACAAAAAGCAACTGTAAAAGGCAGCCCCAGGAAACACACAGCCAGGCAGACGAGCTCTGAGCCAGCTCCCATGTCAGAGGATGAAGAGATCACATCCAGCCAGTCACAGTCAGAGAAACAGGACTACAATGGAAAAACAGGCCAATCTCCAACATCTATAAACAAAGGTGTTGGTGGCAGCAGCACAGCTGATATTTCTCTCCAGGATGGTGTCACAGCCTAACAGGAACAGACAAGGCAAAGCTAGTATGAGAAAAAGCAGAGAAAGCAGAACGTTAGAGATTAAATTAAAAGATTCTGTAGAGTGGAAGAATAGAGAAGCAAAAAAATCATTTTTGGACAGCGTCAATAAGCGTCTGTTGAACTACTGTCAAGTCGATAGTCGGCATAATATTTCAAATTCATGCTCTAAATATCTTTTTTTTCTCATTAATTTTCTGTCACACTGAAAATTACAGACAAGGAATTTTATCAAATGAAAACAATAAAAAAAAAAAAAAACTTCGTGGAATTCCCGCCTTCATATGAGTTCCCCTGTCGAAATCAAATACTTGATAAATCCACCTTATGAATGAAGGGTTTATTTATCATACAGCAACTAGCGAACCTCTCGTTTGCACTAATTTTACCTGCAAACCTGTCCGTTTGTTCCATGTGAAGATGGTTCCGGGGTATCCGCTTAGCGCGAGCAACAGTTCGTGAATCATATTTACTTCAAATAATTAAAATTGAAAAAATAAATACCAGAGCAGATATCTAGTTTTCATTCAGAGGTAAAAACAAACCGCCATAACACCGAGAGGAGCCGGAAAACGTCACCGGATGAAAGTGTGCACTTCCGGTGTTACTATGGTTACCAGAAGCAGATTAATTTAAGCAATTTTTCTCCGTTTTAAAAAAATTCCTACAAAAAACAGACGTCGTGATTTTGGGTTTTCGTAATATTTCATGATTTTTTTTTTTTTTTGTTTTTTTAGGAATGGCAACTGGTAGTTTAACGTATGACATCTGGGAAATGTAGTTTTTCTACCGAGGTGCAACTCTTACGTCACTATTCAATGTAGCTAGCTAGCAGCGTCTAGCAACAGAAATAGCGCAGTATGTGAGTTTTTTATTTAAAACGGAAAGATAATTATTCGAAAACAATGAAGGCTTTATTGTTTACTGCGCATAAGTTAACAGAGACGGTGTGTTTCTTATTGGGCCTCCTGGTTTAGCTGAACTTTCTCGACTTGTCTTAAGGTTCAACTTAACGTCAGCAGGTGAGACACTTTGTAGTGTGGAAACATTCGTTAGTAGTCATGTAAATCATTTATTTAGGGGAGCCAGTAGCTTCAAAACATAAATATCGAACAGTTTGAATTACCTTTACACGTTTTATAGGATTTGTAATGCTAATCTAAGTCGTTCTAACTTTGATTCGCGACTGAACTTTTTGGAATCACTGCTCCTGTATCGATCAGGGATGTCGGGGGTGAGGTGTGGAGATGATGTCTCAGATTACCTGAGGCAGAACCCTCAGCTGGCCCAGTGGGTCGAGTCGTTTCGGGGCTACTGTGAGAGCAACAAGCAGTGGTCTGCTCGGAGGGAGTTCATACTGAGAAACATGGAGGCTTTCCCCACTGTGAAGCCGGGGACTTCCAGCAGCAGTTTGGACAAGCTGCTGTCTCTGTCCATGGTCTGGGCCAACCACGTCTTCCTGGGCTGCAGGTAGGACACATTGAACGGAACATGTCCACATAAGAAAGTTTAGTGGACCCAGCAGTCACTACTGAACATTAATTAAAACAAAAACATTCAAATTAAACATTGTTCAAACTTAGAATGATGATCTTGTGCTTGTTTAAGTTTACTTTGATTCCCCTCATTTCTTCCCCTGCATGGTTTAAAGATAAGTTAAAGGTTAATGGAAGATTAAGCATACTTTTCTGTCCTGTGTGTGTTGGTATGTTGGCGCCTTCCTGAAAGAGAGTAATTATCCACAGATTTGGCCTAGGGCCCCAAGTTCCTGGGGGGCCCATAAAACTCCTTTTACATGTATGGTTAATACAGCTATTACTTATTTGTGCACATTGATTATGTTTTTGATAATAATCCTTTGGTGGAAATGCCATCAGAACGCTTTTAATATTAAGTCTGTCTAAGTCCCCCCCCCCCAGTGTCCACCATATTGGATCAGTCAATTTGCTGCACATGTTCAGAAAGGTCCAAACAAATAGCAGCAAACCAATTGAAAACAAACAGTGCAAAGAGCATTGTTTCCAACGTAGCGCTTTTGTCGCTATATTTAGCTACTTTTCCGACCCCTCTAGCACTTTTATTACAAAAAAGCGCCTAGTGCCAAATCTAGCTACTTTTTTCTGCTACTGGAGACTTTGGCGACAACATATAAAAGCAGCTAACTCTGCCCTCCAGAGCCTGTAGATTGGTAACCCCGCCTCCTGCTCTCCTCTATTTTGTCTGCTGCCATGATTCATGCAGCTATTATTTCATCCAAATGAAAAATGGAGAACAGATAAGTAGATCATGGCTTGTCTACAGTGAAAAGGACTGTTATTTACTTTTGCCGTAGACTTTTTGGAAACACAGGAAGGAGCAATCAGCTAAGTGAGCTCAGTGATTGGACAAGATCTTTTATTCCTTTTGAGAGAGCATGAAAAGTCTGCGTAGTACAAAACATAGAGAGGAAAACAAGAAGAGAGGGACAAAACGTAGAACAAATAATGTATGTCTATTCTATAAAAACTTTTCTATCTGTATAATGGGTCTGTTTTATATGTTGTCTTCCTAATTCAGAGGGCCCCCTGCCTGTCTTTGCCTAGGGCCCCAAATTTCCTAAATCCGCCCCTGATTAGGACTTCATATCTCTGTCTACCTGATTGTCTGTCCATTCATCCATTTAAATAAGGATGCTCAATATATAATGAATATAACTTAGGGCTCCAAAATATAAAGAAAACATCTAATTATGATACAACTACAGAGTGTTGTGATGATATTGACTACAAAAGAACCACATTCCCTTGATACCTTTCTGTTTATTTATTCATCACAACATTCCAATGATTTTTGTGCACTTTAGCATCTTAGGGGGTAAAAATATGTTTCCTGTATGGGCCTCAAGGGCACTATAAGTTTATCCAACATGTGAAATGTAGGATTGGGATGCCCACTATGCTTGCCGGGTATTTTGGATATAATATCCTCTTTTGTTGCACACAGTGATGTTAGAATTGCAACTGTAATGTAAAAAGTATTTGAATGATTTAATAATAATAGCAGATGTGACATAAGCATGCAGAAATAAGCCTCAATCCAATATGGCTATCTGATCAAGCCAGCATTATGTTGGCTATGTTGTTCCTAACTGTTTTAAAAGATGTGTTTTGTCGGCTGAATTCCAGTGACTCATTTATTTCTCTGTGTATTTCAACATGGGTAGTCCTAATACATTTTAAATCACACAGATCCACTCTGGTTCAGTTTGATCCTTTCTGTATTACCACACTGCCTTTCTGTCATCTGTGCATCCTGGAGCCTGCAAGCCAGTTCTCAACTATTCAGTCCTCCCTCTCTAGGCTGTGACCTCCTTTCCAGGTATCTCTAAGGCAGTTTGAACCCCCTTTGCCATCTTGGTTCTATCAGAAAAGCAGAATGAAATGACAAAAAGTTACATGCTTGTAACGCTTATAATGCTTGGTTTGTACGGCAGGGGTGTTTAGGGTTAGAACCAAAAGGACAGTTTGGAGCCCTGTAATTATTGTCATAATTGCCTGTTGCTGGTAATGTGTCAGATATCCCCACTCCGTATGCCAGCCGCCATTTCACAACTCATTGCAATGTTTCATAATAGTCATTGTTCTTACATGATTTCCTAATATTAAGTCTTGTGGGTCTGGTTTTTCTTAAAACTAAAAATCTAGACTGAAAGTCTGGAAAGGTGCAAAAAAATGATGTCAGCGTGGAGGGTAGAGAATGTACCAGATGGATAAATTTGGCAAAGAATATTTTCAGCTTGAATTTTGCCATCCTTAAATGAAGTATACCATGTTTGGCCAGTACTAAAGAAGTCATTTAGCTGACAAAGAAAACTGACTAATGTGTCAATTTAGCTTTTGAACCGTTCCAACCTGAGAGGGAAATATCACTACATGAACAGCTACATACTACTCAATGCTTCCCCATGAGCTCATTTGTATTTACGTGTGAAAGCCTTTGTTGACTTTCTTCTCTTTATCCCAGTTATCCACAGGCTGTCATGGACAAGATCAAAAAGATGGGTGAGGGAATAGCTGTCCAAGACCCTCCTGTTCACAAAACCACAAAAGATGGAATCATGAGCAGAGGAAAGCGGAGCGCCACAGATGGTGATGCACAGTGCATTGTTTATTAGTGTGATGCATGTAAAGTGACCTTGGTTAGAGTTTACAGGACTGTTAATAGTTGGTTTGGTTTCAAGGGGTTTTGCTTTAAACTTGCAATTTTAAGTTAGGAGTAGATAAGATGTGTTTACAGTGAGCCCTGCGGTGATCAAAGGAGTAAAAAGCCTTTAAATTAAGTCAGTTTATGTTGCAGAAATAAGATTTGTTAAAATAGAGGACAGTAGAAAAATTTAGTAACCTTTTTAACCTTCTCCATAGCACGACGACAAGATTTTTAAAAATATGTTCTACCAAGATAATATAATCCTTGATTGGGAAGTAAAAAGAAAAAAGCCAAACGTTGTAAAATATTTGAAACAGTCATACTTATCCTTTTTATATATTGCTAGAGTGAGTAAGATAAGTATTTGAACACCCTGTTATTTTGCAAGTTCTCCCAGTTAGAAATCATGAAGGGGTCTGATAATGTCATCATAGGTGCATGTCTACTGTGAGAGACATAAAAAAAAAAAAAATCTGAAATTACAATGTATATATTTTTTTTTTTTGTATGATGCAGCTGCAAATAAGTATTTGAACATCTGAGAAAATCGTTCCAAAAAGTTAAAAAACAATCCACTGGACTTTGTTTCCAAGTTTGAATATGTGCCGCTGACCTGGTTTCTGAGTAATAATCAGCCTTCAGACGGGCCTTGACATGTGCTGGTTTAAGCAGGGGAACCTTCCATGCCATTCATGATTTCAAACCATCAGGTCTTAGTGTAATACAAACAGTAACCTTGGAAACTGTGGTCCCAGCTCTTTTTTGGTCATTGATCAGCTCCTCCCGTGTAGTTCTGGGATGATTTCTCCCCTTTCTTAGGATCACTGAGACCCAACTAGGAGCCCCAGTCTGACAGTCATGTTTAGTTCCTTCCATTTTTTTAATGATTGCTCCAACAGTGGACGTTTTTTTTTTCAAGACGCTGCTTGGCAATTTCCCAGTAACGCTTTCCAACCTTGTGGAGGTTTACAATTTTGTCTTTGGACAGCTCTTTGGTCTTGGCCATGTTAGTAGTTGTATTCTCACTTGTTGTATGGGGTGGCCAGGTGTCTGTATGCAGCTAACAACCTCAAACAGGTGCATTTAATTTAGGATAATAAATGAGGTGGAGGTGGACATTTTTAAGGCAGACTAAGAGGTCTGTGAGGGTCAAATTCTAGCTGATAGAGAGGTGTTCAAATACTTGTTTGCAGCTGGAATATACAAATAAATATTTAAAAAAAATCATACATTGTGATTTCTAAATGTATTTTTAGATTATATCTTTTACAGTGTTCAAATACTTATTTTCCTCACTGTAAAGGGTTCCTTCTACTTTCAC